TTCAGCCTCCCAAAGTGCTGGGACTATAAGTGTGAGCCACTGTACCCAGCTTAGACTATGTTCCTGTCACTACTTTGTTCTGTGTCATTAGAAAATGCCTGCATTTCATTTTTTTTAAAACAAAACTTTCTGACCAAGCATCGGTGGCTCACGCCTGTAATCTCGCACTGTAGGTGGCCGAGGCACGCAGATTACGAGGTCAGGAGATCGAGACCATCCTGGCGAACGTGGTGAAACCCCGTCTCTACTAAAAATACAAAAAATGAGCCGGGCGTGGTGGCGGGCACCTGTAGTCCCAGCTACTAGGGACGCTGAGGGAGGAGAATCGCTTGAACCCGGGAGGCAGAGGTTGCAGTGAGCCGAGATCCCGCCACTGCATTGCAGCCTGGGCGACAGAATGAGACTGATCTCAAACAGCAGCAACAACAACGACAACAAACCCCACAAGATTTTCTTTCAATTACCTTGTCCAAAATGAGCTGCCTTGTGCACGGCTTGAACACCCGGGTATCCCAAACTCCTACAGACGACCTGTCCAACACGCACTTCCCAGCGATCGTCACAAATTGTACCCCACTGGCCGCTGTGGAGTATCTCCACTCTCCCCTCGTGAGGGCCACTCCCACCGACCAGTCGAACTTTCTTAAATGAGGCTGTTAAAAAAAAAAAAATTCAGACAAGCAAGGACTAATTATGTACACACTGCTTTATAGCACCTTTTTACAACACACAGAAAAACATTTTAGCACATTTTTCCAGTAAGTTAAACTATTGCAATAAATATTAAACTTTCTAGCACCACCTATTGGTAAAGAGTTTAACTGCAAATATTCCAGTTTTAACAGCGGAAGAGCAAAATCCAATCCGTCTTACATGTAAGTTACATACATATGAGGACACTTCAAAGATTATATTCCAACGACTTTCAATTTTAACAGATACAAGTTTACTGTCATATAGATCTTTCATACCATTGAAAAATTATAACTAAATGGTTCATTATTTTCTTGACATGAAAACATACAAACTTATGAACATATAATGCAGAGATTTTCAATGGTATAGGAGGTCGGGGAGCAGATATTTTAGAATATCACAAACACAAAAATAGGTGACCAAACTTCATATCTTTTACCAAGGGAAACAAGGGAACTATAGTGACAACATTCATTTAGAAATAGCAAAGACTTTCCTTGTAGTGAGGCTCCTGGATTCTGTACCAAAGTTTTTGTGTTTTTCTTTTACAGAAAAAAATATTAACGAGATGAAAAATCAGACAATTTTGTGTATTTTGAGAAATGATTCAAATAGTAAAAACAAAGAAATAAACTTTGTTTACAATTATGAAAGTAATTTTGTTCTATAGCGTTTAATCAAAATGACCATGTGTACAATAAACTTTTGTAAACTCTTGATCCTCCTACAGAAAGATTTATACAAATATGAAATGGCCCTTTTCTATTTCTAAAAACCAATATATATGCACTTGGACCTAGGGACAGATTAAATAAAATAGTACAACAAATATTACAAGAGCAATTCACTTGGTGTATGAAAATTCTTTTAAACAGCCTGTATTATTCTGCTAAGTATTTGTTTAGAAAATTATTTGGTTAAAGAACAGAATGAAAGGCAGAGACAAAAAATGTTTTTTAAAATTTAGTTAATGCCAGATAAAAATAACAATATTTTCTAATAATCATAAAACAAATTAATGTAAGTCTATTTAAACAAAACATATCTTTTCAAATATAAGTTTGAGGAATGTTATATTATAAAAAAGCAAGATGTAATGTTTACAACAAAAATATCTCTCTAATATGAAAACAGAGTTTTAGGGTATGGCTTTTTGGAGCTTAATAAATTGAAGAAATATTCAGTAACTTTTTTTTCTCCAATTTGAATTCATTTTGTTAGAATGGTAATCTAATAACATTAAAAGTTATTGGATTATCATTCCAACAAATGTTTTTAACTTATGCTTATTACTGTGTTAACAGTAATTTAATAACATTTAAAATTATTAGATTACTGACAATTTCCTGTAATGAAACTAAGTGACCTGAGCCATGCAGAAACATAAAAGGTGGCATGTTACTATATATGTAATTATATTTATTCTCTTGATTCTTCCAAAATATAATTCAGTGCTAAATACGGAATTAGTGTAAGCATGCCTGAGTGGATAAGCCCTTCTTCACTTAATAAGCATAAGTTACAAACATTTTTAAAAATGAAAATAATTTGTTTTTATGGTATCTCAGCTTTCATTTACTAGTAAAATTCCTGAGTGGCCCGATCATTTCCTGTAATTGCCTAAAGAAAATGAGAAAGAAAAATCCAAGAATGGATTGTGAGAAGTCTTTACATATTAGAGTCATGTTTTATTAACGAGTGTGATATCCAAATGTTTATTTTTATACAAGTCAAATACATCTAAACATAATATATTTATCAGGCATGCATGCCATGAAATTTCAGGCATATTCGAACATTTGATTATATAAGCATCATTGTCCTGTTGTCCAAACAAGTGTATGTAAGCATTCTCACTGCCCATTGTTTACCTCTTATTCCTTCCAAAATGTCATGAATGAGCCGTGCTTGTCCCGGAGCAGTGGTTCTCAAACAATAATATGTAGCAGAACAAGCTCCCAATAGCTAATGCTGTTGGTCCAGGGACCACACTTTGAGAACCACTAACCTAGATGATTGCAGTATATATTTAGACGAGGAGACATATTATATCAGAAACAGATGGTGCTGCTGATACAATCCTTTGATCTCATTTACTGCAAAGAGAATGGCTGACTGTAAATTTCTACCAAATTCCCTATGCTCAAAGGATCCTGAGGGGGGGTAGGTACGTGTATTCAAATTCTTCAGGGCTAAATATGTTTGGGTATGCCGATCCATATCTGTCACCTGAAATATTGTTCAATGATAAATCAACTATTAATAGGTGACCACACATTGCTGATCCTTGACCATCTCTGAAGTAATACAGAGGAAGAGTGTCTGAATATGTCAGTAGACTCCTTTGAGAGTTGGCTTCACCTGCCATTCAACTGCTCTGTTTTGGTGATGTAGAAAAGTTTGTTTTGTCATGAACCTTGATCATAGCATTTTCTCTGTAAGACTGAAGGATCGAAACTTCTCTGAAACTAGCTAACTCATTGTCATAGATATGTAAAACATGTCTATGGTTTCTTTGGCATCAAGCTAATCTATTTAGTCAGATAGGGCTTTTTTTTTCCATTTGGGTATTTTTTTCTTGTGTATAAAGATTTCAGAAGACACACGTGTGTGTGTGTGTGTGTTTGTGTGTGTGTGTGTGTGTGTTTCTGGATAGCTGTTTCCTCTTAACTTTATTTGTGTAGACATTTTCTAGATCCAAATCAAATAAACACAGATAAGCATTGACTATGTGCCTAAACAACGAATCCCTGTATTATTACTTCTTAATTGGTGAAAAAACAGAAACAGAAACTAAAGTAACTTACATCAAAACCAAAATAATACTGTATTTTAAGGATCACTGGATGTTTCATAGAACCCAAGGATAAGATTATAGTTAGGAATCTGGAATAGCCGACCCAAGACCCGAATCCGCTTAGGAGGCTCCAACTTGTACCCAGGCTTCTTTCTGTAGGTTGCTTACTTCTTCTTTTTGTTGTGGCAAGCTAGATATCTTTGCTCTCCTGTTCACTTGATAGAACAGGTCTGTTAACAGCTCCTAAGTTTATGTTTTACAGTTTCTTTCTCGATGACAGTTACTGTCTCTTTCTCAGTGGCAGACTGACAGTTCTAACACTCACCTAACTTGATATTTTACAGCCTATTTCTTAGTGATAGATTCCAAAATATCCAGGGAAGTTCTTCAATGGCCTAGTTTGGGCCAAATGCCCATCAGTGGACTGGACAAACAGGCAGTGTCACTTGCATGAACATGGCATTCCCAGAGTGAGAATGGGGAGGCATTTCCATGTTGAAACAGTTTTGAGCAGACAAAATATATTAAGTCCATTCCATAAAAGATATTTTAATAATCTTGCTGCTTTTATGCAAATATTTGCTGTTTCTTTATAGAACAAGTTTGGGAATCCCTGATAGAATTACAAACATAGTAGACTAGAATGATAGAGGACTTCATGAGAATACTCTTGCCAAGTGACTTGTGGAATAAATAAGGTCATGATTAATCTCTGTTCACCTTTCCAATCTAACCCTTGAGAAATTCTCCTTACCTGCATTGCTTTGTCTTTTTACTTTAGTTATATAACTACTCACATTTTTCAAGTAAGTCTCATTCTCCTTTATTCCTGGGGCTTTGGTTCCTCTCTGGAATGTTCCTTCTTCCCTTCCCACTTCCCCTCTCATTTCTACACTCTCAATCTCCAAATTTGGATTGGTTACTTTATAGCACTATTACAGATGCTGTACCAAACCACAGGAAACTTGTTTGTTTTCCCCATTAGACTGAAAGAAACCCCTTA